ACCCTCCAAATGCTGGGGTTATGCATAGATGCTCCATTCATGTCTAGTTTTTACGTGGGTGCTGCAGATCCAAACTTAGGTCCTGGTGCTTGTGAGGCAGGTACATCTCTGACTGAGCTATTTCTCCAGCTCCTCTTCAGCTGTTCACTAACTTTTTTAGTATAGAAAAGAATGGATTTCATTTTGAAATTTTCATACATGTCATACTTATTCCTCTATTACCCTGTCTCTCTCTGTAATGAGGATTAAACTTGTGGTCTCATTTATGCTAGACTAGTGTCATATCACTGAGCTCTAAGCCCCTCACTGTTGATTGCCAGAGTCCAGGTATGGTAGTTTGAATGAGAATGACCCCATAGACTCATGTTTGAATGCTTGGTCCTCCGTTTGTGGAACTGTTTGGGAAGGATTAGGAGGTGTGGCCTTTGGAGGAGGTATGTCATGGGGGTAGGCTTTGAGATTTCAAAAGCCCAACCATTCCCAGTTAGCTCTCTTTCTCTCTGCCTTGTGCTTATGGATAAGGAGGTGAACTCTCAACTATTCCTACTTGCCTGCTGCCATGCTCTCTGCCATGGTGGTCATGGACTCCAACCCTCTGGAACTGTAAGTAAGCCCCAAGACATTCTTTCGTCTGTACATTGCCTTTGTCATAGTGTCTCTTCACAGCAACAGAGAAGTAACTAAGACACCAGGCAAGTGCTCTACCACTGTGTACATTACCCACTCTTTTAAGGTTTTAATTTGGAGATAGGGTCTTGCTAAATTATTTAGGCAAGGGTTGATGCTTAATCTCAGCCTTCCTAATGCAGAGACGAGAAGCATGGGGTGGCCATGCTCATCCTAGATCTCCCTTTCTTAATAAGACTTCATTTCTGTTTACTGGAGAGAGATGGAGTGAAGGAGGGGAGGTGGCGACCTTTCTGTGATGTTCAGCCAATGCCTGTCTGATGCTGGCAGCAGAACTATACGCCAGAGGTTGAGGAGAAAGGTCAGAAAACCATCGTGATTTCAAGCATAGCATCTGTACTTTCCAACCTTGGCAAGATGCCACAATAGACTTGACTAACACTAGGACCTTGTCCTGCCAAGCGGGGTGATCTGGCCCTGAACTTGGGTCATTATTCCAACCCAGGATCCCAGTGGGAGCCATGAAGTACATTTTATGTAGTAACTGGCACATTTTGGGAGAGTGTATTGCCTTCACCTACTAATGGACAGAAGTACATAGGTGTTAAGAATCTTTATCTTAGGCCACACAGTGGATTAGAACTACACTATACATATTATAGCTGCTTCCCAAGCATGATCATAAAACACTTGAAATGTGCCAGATGTGGTAGCACACACTTGTAGTCCCAGGAGTGGGGAGGCTGAGAGGAGAACATTATTGCTGTATTCCAGTGGTTGAGGAGAAAGGTCAAGAAATCATGGTGGTTTCAGGCAAGCATCTGTACTTTTCTGACCTTGGCAAGGTGCCACAGTAGATTTGACTAACACTAGGACCTTGTCCTGCCAAGCGGGGTGATCTGGCCCTGAACTTGGGTCATTATTCCAACCCAGAATCCCAGTGGGAGCCATGAAGTACATTTCATGCAGTAACTGTCATAGTCCTCACACTTTGGAGGAGGTATATTGCCTTCACCTACTAACAGACAGAAGTTCATTGGGGGCCACACAGTGGGTTAGAACTCCATCAGACTGGGATACAGAGGGAGACCTTGTGTAAGGACAAACAAACAAAGAGACCAACCACTGAATGCATTTCAAATGAAATATAGTCCATCAAATGTAAATTTAAATCAACTCAATTTTGAAATTGATACTCAACTGTTGGAAAACTTGAGATATTCTTGGAACATCAGAGTCATGGAAATCCTCTTTTTTAGTGGGAGGATTCATGAACTCTAAATATAAATCCAAGATTTTTTTTTAAAGAAAAGTAAAAGAAAGACAAAGAACAAAAGAACATCTTTGAAGACCATTTAGGTTCCCAATTAAGACAGGCCACCATTGCCAAAACACGCACCAGATTTCAAGCATAGCATGAAAAACCAACAACAAAAACATAGCCAGACCTGGTGCCGTTAGCTTTCAAACCCAGCTACTTCAGAAGTTGAGGCAAGTTGACTGCAAGTTAAAGGCCAGTCTGAGCTACAAAGTGGAACCTAAAACCAATCGCTGAGTATGGGGGCACAAATCTGTAATCCTGACACTTGGGAGGTATAGGCAGGAGGACCAGGAGTTCAATGCTGGGCTGGGCTCTTCCATAACAAAACAAAACAAAACAACAAAAAATAAATTATGGGGGCCATGGGTGTAGCTAAGTTGGCAGAGTTCTGGCTTACATAGCATACATGAAACCCTGGGTTTAATCCTCAGCCTTCTTTAATATGACCATGATGGCTCACACTTGTATTTCCAGCACCTGGGAGATGGAGGCAGGGGGATCAAAAGTTCAAAGTCATCCTTGGCTACAAAATGAGTTCAAGGTCAAGTAGGGCTACATTAGATAGACCTTGTCTCTAAAAGAGGGAAGGCATTATGGTGCAATATTAGCCCGATGACCTGCTGACCAATCAGGAGGACCATATGCACGGAGTCATTCTTGGCCAGTGAGCCATGATGATGTTGATGGTTTTGGGTCTTTGATAATTGAAATTTCTTTACTTGGGGAAAATCATTATAACTGAAAGTGTGATAATTACGTATTTTAAAATGATCTTAAGTTCCTGCTTCATTTCCAGAGTGATGGGATTGTATGCATGTGCCATCACACCCACTTTATGCCATGCTGAGGATGATACCCAGAACTTGGTGAATTTTGGGTAAAGACTCTATCCACTTGAACATCTCCAGCTAATTTTGTCCTATAATGCTCCTGTAATTTCATGCTACCACAATCATGTTGTGCAATGCTGAGGAAAAACCCAGAACTCTGTTCATGCTAGGCAAGGATTCTACTAACTGAGAGACATCTCCAGGCAATTTTGTCCTATGGTGCCTCTATAATTTGAAAGATTGCTGTAGATTCCAGTGTTGTTTACATGGTTCTCTCTGTTTCTCCCACATCTTCCTCTACAGATGAGTCAACATGACCTTCCAATTCTTCATTTATCATCAATTATTTTGTAGATATCAGGATAAGGTACAAGTTACCACAGGGAGAAGATAAAATTCTCATTTGAGGTATAATCATATTTGCAACCTTCCTTGATCCTATACATGAACTATACAAGTTTATACCAGTTTATATTTTCCCATGTGAATGATGAATAATAAAGTCCACAAAGTGAATGGTTGTGTGAAAAATAAAACTTATTGGTATGGAATGAATGTTATTTTGTGTGTGAAAAGGCATGAGGGTTGTGTGTGAGAGTGTGTGTGTGTGTGTGTGTGTGTGTGTGTGTGTGTGTGTGTGTGTGTGTTTGGGAGAGCAGGGTAGAAGCTATAGTTTGACTGTCATCTCTAAAACCCATGTTGAAATTTAAATGTTATTATAACAACAGTAAGAAGTGAGATGTTCAAGATGTGATAGGGTCATAAAGCTTTTGCCTTGAGGTTATAGGCTTACTCTGAATGTTTCCCAAAACATGTGCTTGAACATTTGATCCACAGCAGGTGGTTCTGTTTTGGGGAATTATGGGATCTTTAAGAGGTGAGGCCTGCCTGGTGGAAGAAGGTCACTTACAATGGACTGTAGATAGATTATATGATGGCTTGTAACCTGGGCCTGATTCCAGCTTCTCTCTTTCTCTCTTGTTTCTCATCTGTCACTGTTATGTGACCAGCCACGAGCTCCCATTTCAAGCCTGGAGCCCCAGCTGACAACGACTCCAGCACTGGAGTAATATGGTAATGTTTATCCTATAACTGAGTTCTGGATCCATTTTTCTGCCTTTCTTGTCACGTGGTCAAATTCCTGCTACAAAGCAACTAAGAGGAGAGGATTTATTTTCTCTCATTTTCATGGCAGGCTAGGTGTGGCACTTGGGGCTTTGGTCTAAATGAGGGAGTGTACCTGAAAGTTTTTCTGTGTCCCACCTGGAACACAGTTGGGACAAATCTCTCACCCACAGTCCTGCAGCCTTTTATAAAATAATCACACAGAGGCTTAATATTAATTTTAAACTATGGTCACGGCAGGCTTATTGCTAGCTAGCTCTTGTATCTTACATTAACCCATTTCTATAAATCTGTATTTAGCCATGTGTCTTGTGGCTTACCAGTACTTTTACATCCTGCTTCTCATGGTGGCTGCTGGCAGCATCTGCTCTCCTTTCTCTCCTTGTCTATCTGTTTGGATTACCTGCCTGCCTTTAAGCTGCCTTGCCATAGGCCAAAAAGCTTTATTTATCAACCAATCAGAGGAAATCATATTTACAGCATCCAGAAAGACATCCACAGCAAGGGAGCTTGTGGTTGTTCTTATATATGGCAGATGGAGGAAGAAGGAGGAGGATGAAGAAGAGGAAGACACACACACACAGAGACACAGACACACAGAGACACAGACACACACACACACACACACACACACACACAGAGAGAGAGAGAGAGAGAGAGAGAGAGAGAGAGAGAGAGAGAGAGAGAGAGAGAGAGAGATAGATATATGCATGTAGTGGAGTTGTGACCCAACATCTTGCCTCCAAAAACCTACTTCTTTCTTGCAAGCTTTACCTCTTAGGGTGTCCTGCCACCTCCCAAATAGTGTTATCAGTTAGGTACAAAGTGTTGATGTGTGAACCTCTGACAAGGATTTCACATTTAAAACGTTATGTGTTATACTTGGTGAATGGATCAAAGTGTCACTGTAGTGGTGGGCTAGCTGAAAATGTTCAGTTTCCTTTTTTCATATATATATTTTTTATTAAGAGATTATTCTATTCATTTTACATACCAACCACAGATTCCCCTTTCCTAGCTCCTCCTGCCCCCTAGCCTTCCCACCCCAACACACCCCCCAGTTTTCTTTTTAGGTTTCTCCTTCAGTCTTAGTCACATTTGCTGACCCCTGTGTCACGTTATAGAGCAACAGCAAGAGCCTCACCAGATACCAGTGCTGTGTTCTTGGAAATAACTGTTTCCAGAACCACAAAATTAAAAAAAATTCTGTTCGTATAATTGCTGGGTTTCTAATATTCTGCTACTGCAGAATACAGACTAAGATGGTCTCTGCATCTTTCTGCAGAGTCTGTGGGATGGGGGCAGGGGGTAGAGACACTGTCAGAGAAAGATAGCAAGAGAGAGGGTCGGAGAGCTTCATGGCCTATGAAGACAGCCAGGAGGACAAAAGGAACCATTCGTCATTAGTCACAGCAATCAGAGACTATTTAGTTAGGGTTTCTCTTTCTGTGACAAAACACTGTGACCAAAAGCAACTTGGGGAGGGAAGGGTTTATTTTGCTTGAATTCCCATTTTACAGTTCATCATCCAGGGAAGTCAGGGTGGGAACACAAGGCAGGAACCTGGAGGCAGGAGCTCAAGCAGAGGCCAGGGAGGGGTGCTACTTACTGGCTTGTTCCCCATGGCCCTGCTTTCTTATAGAACCCAGGACCACCCGCCTAGGGATGGCACCACCTACAGTGGGCTTAGCCCTCCTCATCAATCCCTAATAAAGAAAATGCCTTTCAAGCTTGCCTGCACTGTGATTTTAGGGATGCATTTTCTCAACTGAAGTTCCTTCCTCTCAAATGACCCTAACTTGTATCAAGTTGATATAAAATCTAGCCAGCCCAGACACCCAGAGGCCCCAACTTCTCCTCTGCCAGGTTTCAGCCTCTCTCTCCTCCTAGCTCCCGAGCCTTCCCACTCCTGAATCTCTTGCCTCTCCTTTCTTCTCCTTCTTTCTCTTCCATCTGAGGCTGTCATGGGCCAGAGAGTGCAATAGGAACTCTGGAGAAATTACATCTGCAGCCCCTCAAGGACTCGGGCTGGGGAATGCATAGACACACAGAGATGTGCACAGTCCATGTGACACTGTTCTTGTCACTTAAATGTAACCACATTCATATATGAAGCTAAGAACATAGAGAAAGGCCTCCACAATTTAAGATTATATATGCAAACACACCCCAGACGTGCAAGAGTAGACTAGCAAGCACATCTAGACACAAACACACAAACACACATTCATATTAGAATGACCAGCTGGGTGGTGGTACACGCCTTTAATCCCTGCACTTGGGAGGCAGAGGAAGGCAGATCTCTGTGCATTCGAGGCCAGTCTGGGCTACAGAGTGAGTTTCAGGACAGTCAGGGCAGTTACACAGAGAAACCCTGTCACAAAACAAAAACAAACAAACACAAAGAAATGGCCTTTCACTATAAAAAGCATATAGTGCACACACACAGGTACATGCCTGAATAAATAAACAGACAAAACTGAGCTGACACGTGTATACTCACCCCCAGAAATCGAGACGCATTACTCCCAATGCCCTTTTGTCCTGTGTATCTGTTTCTTGGTGATCTTGCCAACATCTTAGGGTGGGGGCAAGAAGATAGGGAGTGAGCAAGTCACTGGCAGCCCTAGCAGGAAGTATGGGTGCTCACACTCCTGGACAGTGACGAGACAGGAGGCAGGAACAGCTCAAGTTGCATAACTAGGTGGAGAGGCAGGCTCAGCATAAAAGGTCCTGCTGGAGTGTGCAGTGAGGTCGCCAGTGGCCAGACCAGGACCATGGAGCCCAGTGTCCTGCTCCTCCTCGCTCTCCTCGTGGGCTTTGTACTGCTCCTGGTCAGGGGTCACCCAAAAGCCCGTGGCCACCTCCCACCAGGACCACGTCCACTGCCCCTCCTGGGAAACGTCCTGCAGATGGACAGAGGAGGCCTCCTCAACTCCTTCATGAAGGTGAGACTTATATGGGGTCATTGTGTGGGCTTGTCCCTGCTTTTGTCCGTGGAGATCACTCAGAGGGATGAGCAAGCGACTCCTTCCAGGCCATAGGTTCAGGTGGGAAGGTTGCTGAGTGGAAGGTGAGATGCTGATTAGTGATGATGGGCAGGCATGTCCTCACTATGGTGGAATCCAGTGGGGGCAATGTGCTTGGAGTGTGGAAGGTGTAGAGCCATTGAGGCGTAAGCGTGTAGAATTTCACTCCGTGGGGCTTGTCTTTTCCAGAAGAGAAAGAAAAACGTCAGAGGCATCAGCAACAGGTTTTGCTCCTGCCAACAAAAGAGAGAGCAGAGATTAGCTTGAGGTGTTCAGGGACAAAGGGGAAGAGAGGCAGGGCAGGAGGAGGCGTGGTAGGGAGTGTTTATCAGTTTATTGCAGCAGCTAGCATTGTATTTACCAGTCTGTGCACAGATTCTTCACACTGGGGATTTCATGTTTAATTACCACTTGCTTGCTAGTAATTCATCAGCATCCACGCTCCTACCTTCCATGAGAGAGCTGAAGCAGTGATTGCAAGTCCCACTCCTCTGTCCCTCCCCATGGCTGTGGAGATCTCCCTCTTGTACCATATGTTTGGTACCCCCCTCCACTCAATGGCAAATTTAGCTATTTTACTTTATATTTTGAGACAGGGTCTCCCCGTGCTTTTAAGGTTGTCTTCCAACTCATGATTCTCTTGCCTTAGCCTCCTGAATGAAATGAGAAGCGTGTATCACCACACCCTGACATGAGTGTTTTAAACAAGTACTTCTCACATGTTAGAAAACTCAAGTCAACATCCTGTTTATTTTAGTTTTAAAAAATCCTTAGACACTTTATCATCTGCAGATACCAGATCTCGGTCATTTGTGACCTCCCCTTTCCCTCTCTCTCCTCCCTCTTTTCCCCACAGAACCCCTTCTTTTTGCCAACAAGACTCTCCCTGCTTTAATATTCTTATTTCTGCCCCCCCAAGTTTTATTAGGGTCCTTCAGAGTGGGCTTATGTGGGGCTTGTTGCTTGGAGATCACTTTGCACAAAGAGAAAGGATGCCTTCTAGGCTCTAGGTTCAGGTGGGAAGGTTGATGAGGAAAAGTGGAGATGCCGACTCCTGCTCAGGCGTGGTGGGGCTCATTTCCTGGACCGTGAGCATCTCATGAGTGACTACACCACGACAGAAATCGGCATCTCCCCCCAGCAGCACTAACTGCCCACAGACCCACAGGGAGGGGTGGTAGCATTCTGTCACAGTGTGAAATGCTGCATCTTTCCCAGCAGGGACAGTGATGTTGATGATATGAACACACAGGGTCTAGGAAATGTGCAGACAGCAGGAAATTCCAGTATATACCAGCTCTGATATGATGGTTGGTTGTCTTTGCAACTATGTATTTTGAACATTAAAGAGTCCCATGTTCCCCTGCAAGAATAATAGTGGCAGCGTCGAGCAGCAGAGCTGCATTCCTGACACCCAGGAGCTGACAGACTAGTTTCAGATGTAGAATAAACATACAAAAGTTAATTAGGTAAGTTGCCTGTTCACCTGTCTGATACAGAACATAGGCAAAGCAAAATGGCTTTCCTCTCAAAGGTTTATTTTTACTTTATGTGTATGAATGTCGCCTGCATTTATGCATGCATACCATGTGCATGCTTGGTGCTCCAAAGGGTGTAGGATTCCCTGGAAATGAGTTACAGATGGTGTAAGTACCAAGTGAGTGCTGGGAACTGAACCTGGGTCCTCTGCAAGAACAGCATGTGCTTTTAAACCCTAAGTCATTTTTCTAGTCTAGTAAGCACTAGAAAAGCTGCTGATGGAAGTTCTGCTAGTGGCTGCACCAAGGTCAGGGAAGGAGAAGCACACTAGCCCAATAAGGGGGTGATTATTCCTCCTGAGCCCAATAAGGGGATGACCATTCCTCCCATCTGCTTATCATGGTTTAAGTGAACCAGCCTTCTCCAGGGCTTGTCTCTTGGCTGAAGATTGATGGGCCCAGCTGAATTAACTCTTAAGGGAGGAGTCAATCTTTGGAGTAGGTAAGAATTTCATGTCTCCACTCAGGACCAAAGGGAGGAGGGAGGAAGAAGGATCGAGGAGAGAGGAGGGAAACAGGAATAGGGAAGCAGGAGGAGGGAGGAGTCTATTCTAAACTACTTTTAAGGCTCCTTAACATTCTTCTCTTATGGATGGAGACACCAAAATAATTGGGAGATGGGCTGAAATTTGATGATGGAACATTTCCAAAGCTGTTCAGTGAGGGTCAGTGTCTGGTCGAGTTTCAGTCACATGTAGCCCCAGGAAGAAATGCTCATTTAGGAGAAGACATAAGAAGGACCTGGGTGGTGGTGGAGGAGAACTGGCCCAGCAGTTAAGAGCACTGGCTGCTCCTTCAAGGATCCAGTTTTGGTTCCCAGCACCAAAAATAAATCCCTCCCATTTGTAACTGCAGTTCCAGGGGATCTGGCTCCCTCTTCTGGCCTATGAGGCCACTGCATGCATGTGTTGCACTTTCGTATATGCTGGTGTAACACTCACACAAAGTTCATGATACTCCCTTGGTAGGCTCACAAGAACAAGCATCTGTGTATGCTCACTGGGCTCTTCGTCAGGCTTTTAAGTGTGGCCTCTGAGGCTTGATTCAAGAGTGGTGGACCTGGGATCTATTTTCAAATGCTTTGATAGTTGTTGGGGTGTCTAGTGTCACAGCCTGGGTGTGACTTCTAAGATCCTGGAGGCAACCACCTGTTTTATCCTCACAGGAACTTCTTTAGAGTCCCATCTTATTCACATCAGAACCTCAGGGGAACCCACCATTACCATGGAAACTGGTGTTAGGAAAAGACTCAGGAGGAACTCAAGGGCAATCTTCTCAGAGTTTGAGATTAAAAACATCAGGCAGATGTTTTTAATTAAAAACAAGTGGCACATCTTGGCAGCTGCTGGAAGAGGAAGGTGGGTGAGAGAAATAGAGGAATCTATGTGGTTTGTAAGCACCCATGTGGTAAAAAATGAGTGGGCGAGCTTCCGAGAAAGAGAGGGACAGCTCAGAGTGTAGGGAAAGCACATCCAGCCTTTGGTCGGTATCTGAGAGAACAAGAAATAGAAAGGAGGTTTTGGAAGAGTCATGATTTCTGAGTCAGGACTCAGAAGAGGAGGTGGGTCTCAAGGTATAGGTACTACAGTGCTTCCTTATGGAAGTTCTGCAAGTGACTGTCTAGAATTTGGAAAGAAATGTAATTATTATTATTATTATTTTTATTGTGTGTCTGTTTGGGTGTATATTTACTTTGTGTGTGGATACACACACCTTTACATAGAGGCCAGATGGGGACATTGGTTGTGTTCTATCACTCTCTGTCTATTCCTTTGAGGCAGGGTCTCTCCCTTAACCTGGGCCTGGTATTGTCTTAGCTAGGCTGGAAACCAGCAAGCCCCACTTCCTCCTGTCTCCACCTCCACTTTGGAGGTGGGGCTATGGCTGTGCTTTGGACACCAGGCTTATATCTGGGACTGGGGTGCAAATCCCAGTCATCATGTAGCCGCAAGTGTTCCAGACCACTGAGCTACCTCTCCAGTTTCAGTTATAATTTAAAATGATTCATTTTAGATTTATTTTTTATTTTGTGTGTAAGAATGTTTTGCCTGCACATATGTCTGTGTACCATGTGTGTGCCTGGTACCTGCAGAGGTCAAAAGAGGGCATTACATCCCCTGGAACTGGAGTTAAAGATATTTGTGAGCTGCCATGTGGGTGCTGGGAACCAAACCCAGATCCTCTGCATGAGATTTTTAACGTCTGAGCCATCTCTCTAGCTACTCCAGTTTTAACTTTTGAACTATGATATTGTTAAAGTTGATTATCAGCCTTCCTAATGCTATGACCCTTTAAAACAGTTCCTCAGGTTGTGGTGACCACCAACCATGGAGTTATTTTTGTTGCTACTTCATAACTGTAATTATGTGTGTGTGTGTGTGTGTGTGTGTGTGTGTGTGTGTGTGTGTGTGTGAGTGTTAACATCCATATCATATTCATGTCTGTAGCTGGAGTTTTCTCCAGTCCTGCCCAGCCCTGCGGTTAGGATGAATCTCTCCTCCCTGCATCCTGCAGCCACTTGGTCCCAAGTAAACACACAGAGGCTTACATTACATACAAAAGGTAAGGCCTATGTGTCAGGCTTCTTGTTAGCTAACTCTTATAACTTAACTCACCCATTTCTATTAATCTATATTGTAGATGAATGGTCTTGTTAAATAAGAAACACAGAGCCAATGCAGAGATGAAAGTCCAAGAGGTCAGAGCTAAAAACCTTACCCTTCACTGCTGCTGTTGTCCTCTTCAGCAAGAGACCTACTTCCTGTCTGTCTTTTTTATAGACTTTCTCTTCTGCCTTCTTATTGGTTGTAAACCCAACCACATGACCTTCTCGTCACTGCCTGTCTGTACAGACCTCCAGGTCTTCTATGGTTGGTATTGAGATTAAAGGCGTGTGTCTCCATGCTGGCTGTACCTTTGAACACACAGAGATCCGCCTAGCTCTGCTCCCAAGAGCTGGGATTAAAGGAGTGCACCACCACCACCCAGTTTCTGCTATGGCTTGCTATTAGCTCTGACCCCCAGGCAACTTTATTTATTAACATACAAATAAAATCACATTTCAGTACAATTAAAATATCACCATACTATATGTTGCCACGTGGCTGTGGCATTGCTCATCTGAGGGCATCTTGTTGCTCCTTGGGTGGTGGGCTGGCTTCTCTTTCATCTCATCTTTCTCTTTCCTGTATCTCTGTTTGGATTTCCCACCTGCCTCTAGGCTGCCTTGACATAGGTCAAAGTAGCTTATTTATTAGCCAACTAGAACAACACATATTCACAGCATACAGAAAGACATCTCATAGAACTTCCCCATTTCTGTCTAATCAAAAAGGAAGGTTTTAACTTTAACATAGTAAAATTACATATAATAGTGCTCACTTTGGCAGCACATATACTAAAATTGGAATGATACAGAGAAGATTAGCATGGCCCCAGTGCAAGAATGGCACTCAAATTTGTGAGCGTTCCATATTTTAAAAAATACATGTAAATGAAACAGTTATCAAGTAAGAATTAGTTATAATATCTAGTCTATTTGTATTTGGCAAAATTAAGAAACTAGTCTATCATCTGTCCTATATTTGTGAGTCTAAAGTTTTGTATCTAATTTTATCTTTTATCACAGCCAAGGAAAATTATAATTATAACTATGTAGTCTTCAACTCCATCAAAGACCCCAGAAGGATATAATATTACCTGAGTAAACAGGAAGTGAATTGCAAGCAACTTCCATAATTCTAGAAATTACTGAGATATCTAGCTGCCTGGACAGTCATCCAAAGTTTCTCAGCACCATTGGGGCATTGATCTTCAGCCTACAGGCCTAGAGTCTCTGGCAGACTTTTTAGTGAAGCAAGAAATTCGAAGGATTGTCTTGCCTATTGGCAAAGTTCACCAATTGCTTCTCCCTGTGTCCTGCAGAATGTCTGACAGTCTCCTCTGTGAGGCAGGAACCTGAAGAAGGATCTCACCTTGTTTAGGCAAAGTTTAGTGGTCACTTTCCCATGGGTCCTACATGTCCAGTCTATACCACACATTGTCAAACAGTCCAGGCAAGAGCAGTTTCTTGCCCAAATGGCCAGTTTTGCCAAGAAGAAGAAGAAGAAGAAGAAGAAGGAGGAGGAGGAGGAGGAGGAGGAGGAGGAGGAGGAGGAGGAGGAGAAGAAGAAGAAGAAGAAGAAGAAGAAGAAGAAGAAGAAGAAGAAGAAGAAGAAGAAGAAGAAGAAGGAAAACTCCATATGGAATGTCTTTGATGCCCATCTTCCTCTTTGAAGTAAATTGGTGCTGCCAGGAGCAGACATGTCTCACTGTCCAGAAAAGTCTAAGTTATAAAACATTTTAAATGCCATATTCTGTAATTCTTTTACGTGTTTGAAGATTACCTACCTAATTGAAAAATACCTATGTATATCTAGAAAACTTAACTAACATGACTACTTATTAATCTGTATTTCTCAGCTATACACTACAATTTCAAATGAGCTGCACAAACATAGTACCCCAAACAGGAGTAGAAATACATACAGTATAACAAAATTTTCTTCACATTTGCATCAATAAACAAAACAACTTCAAATTTGCATCAAAATCCATAGCAATGTAAAACATTTAAAATAAGTTGTTGCTCTTTAAGTACATTGAATAACCTACCCTTTTATCCTATCATATCTACACTATCCCCTTTTCTTTTTTATAAAGAGTTTGCATTCATAATCAACCCCTTTTAAGTAAAAATAAACATTTATAAACAATATTTTAGGAATTTGGGCATAGCTTTTCATACTACTTACTACTGGTTGGGGGTGCTGGCAATCTTATGGGAATCCTGAGAAAATTAAGAATCATAGTTAAATCTTGACTGTAGCAGTCTGTGAGGCTGTATCAACCTCTCAGAGGGTCTTGGTTGATCAAACCATATTAGCCTGGAAGCAGTCCATCGGTTCTCATCTTCTGTGGAAATAAAAGCAGAACATCTTTTCCAAAGCAATGTATCCTTAGACATAAATTTGAAGTCAAGATACCTTTAAAATATACATATTGGTTTAACTCAGCAGTCTTTACAATCAAATGTCTCTCTCCAATTAAAAATCCCAAAGACAACACAATCCAGATTCTCTGTGTAAATTTTATTTTTACGTGGATTGACTTTTATATTACTTTTACTGTCTCTTTAAAGATTTTATTTTTTAAAACTATCTATTTCATTATATAAATGCATATGTTCTTTTTTCTCTCTCTTCCAAGCCTATGTACATTTTTACATACATTTTAAACCATTTAGAGTTTTATATCATCTGAATCTGTCTTGTTGTGAATCTATAATCCTTCTTTGACCAGGAGCGATTTTAAGCTGTTAAGATGATGACTTTGGCTGTTGCCTCCAGGGCCCCCCCTCAGCTTCCCAACATGGTGGAGGTATGTTTACCACCAGCTCTGGGATCCATGCTCACCAATGAGTCTGGGAAGCAGTGGGTCTATGCCTCCATCCAGCAGTATATAACCCAGAATTCCACCCCCAGTATTTTGTCTGTACTAGCAAAAGTTAAACCCACCATGCATCACACTGCATGCCTTGGAGACACCTCTGTGTACCATGACCGGAATCTGCCATGCTGTAGGTCAAGCCCACACAGCTGTGAACCTGCCATGCTGTATGTAGCTCCAGCATACATTTGCAGCATCTTTGTGTCATGACTTGCCTGAGAGACTCAATGAGGAAGCTGCTCTTGACTCCATTTTAGAATCCATTTTTATAGACTTCTCAGGTTTTGGGTAGAAATTCCTGCCTCACATTGGGTGCCAAAATGTAGCCAGAGGTTTCTCCAGTCCTGCCTGGCCCTGCGGTTGGGATGAATCTCTCTCACTCACACCCTTCACCTGCTTGGTCCAAGTAGACACACAGAGGTTTACATTACTTACAAACTGTATGGCCTATGGGTCAGGCTTTACGTTAGCTAGTTCTTATAACTTAACCCATTTGTATTAATCTATATGTTGCCAAGTGGCTGTGGCATTAGTGGTCTGCAGGCATCTTGTTGCTCTTTGGGTGGTGGGCTGGCATTTCTCCAATTCTGCCTTTCTCTTTCCTGTATCTCTGTTTGGATTTCCCACCTGTCTCTAAGTTGCCTTGCCATAGGCCAAAGTAGCTTATTTATTAGCCATCTAGAGCAACACATATTCACAGGATACAAAAAGATATCCCACAGCACATATCAGAGTCTATATCCATATCTGTGTTTGAAGCAGCAGGTTAAGCCCCCTCCCCACACCAATGAGAACTTACTCCAAACACTTGAGAAATAAGAATAAAACTCTTCAATAATGCACATCTGGTTCTGGCCAACATCCAAGAGAAACTAGCCTCAAAGAGACATTTTTAACAGCTTGTGTAGATCTTGGGCACTACCAATCCATATGTGCTGTCATCTGTAAATATCTTGTAGGTTCCATCAGACTTTGAGCAGTTAAACATATTTCACAGAGATAGGAACTACAAGCCTGACTATTTCAGATAAGTGGAGATTTATGGCAAAGATATCCTCACCATTACTTTTGAAGTAGACCAGGGTTGTTCCTTTTGAATCACATTGCTTGTGTCTCAGTCATTGAACTGTTGCTGTGAAGAGACCCGATGACCAAGGCAGCTCGAATAAGAAAGCATTTAGTCTATAATCACCATGGCAGCAACATGACAGCAGGCATGGCAGGTGCTGGAGCAGTAGCTGAGAGCCACATCCTGATCTGCAGGCAGAGAGAAAAACTCTGGGCTTAGCATGGGCTTTTGAAACTTCAAAGCCTACCCCTAGTGACACACTTCCTCCAACAAGGCCACACCTCCCAATCCTAATCTTTTCAACCTGGTGAGCAAGCATTCAAATACATGAACTTATAGAGGCCATTCTTATTCAAATCGTCTCACCAGTGCTCTCCTACCCTCCTGGCAGAATTACACTCTTCCTGAATAAGAGAAACAGGACTTAATGATCATTGTTAGCCAGTGCTATCCCCTTTGAACTGCCCAGTAGAGCCATGTTCTTTAATATGGGAATGGAGCCTGATTTGCATCTATCTTAATAAACAAATATCAACAGAACTATATTCTCAGAAGCCTAAAGTACAATTACGTTCAGGGTACAACTATCTTCTTATGGTTTCTAACAAGTCTGGTTAGCTTACTACTTATCACCAAGTCATATGAGAGGCAGCACTGCCTTAGCTAGACCCTACCTTGTGCAGCTTAGTTTTCCTAAGCAAGTTTACCGCTGAATCCTCTGTAATGTCAAATCATCACTCTCAGTTTTCCTACAGCATATCTATATATTGTTTATTTTTTTGATACCAGGTCTCATGTAGCCCCAGGCTGGCCTCCACCTCAACAGCAGCAAGAGATGATCTTGAACTCCTGATCCACCTCATTTACTTCCCCAGTGCTGAGCTGATAGCAAGAGCCACCCACCCACAGCCATACTGTAATGCAGTACTGCTCAGATCATCCAGCATCCATGCAGACTTCCATGGTGGTGGATTGACCCTGAAATTGCTAGGTCCTCAGAAGGGGAAAGGTGGCCAGGGGAGGTCTTCCTATGTATCACTCTGTGTCTAAGTGTTTTCACAGGGTAGCAACAACGTCTGCACTGACTAACCACAACCCTGGTACCCTTATGCTTGGCAGATTCGAGAAAAATATGGAGATGTGTTCACAGTGCACCTGGGACCGAGGCCCGTGGTCATGCTGTATGGGACAGAGGCCATAAGGGAGGCTCTGGTGGACCAAGCTGAGGCTTTCTCTGGCCGGGGGACAATTGCTGTGGTTAGACCAGTCTTCAAGGACTATGGTAGGAATTTCAAAGTTTGATATTGGTGAAATTATCAATGCCACTCCATGTAGTTAAAAGGGAGGTTTATTTCATGGGGTAACTTACATGGGATAGGCTACAGTGTCTGGGAAAGGTGCTGTCTGGCGGTGTTCTCTGGAGAACTCTGCTTGGTCTACCTCAGTGTCCAGGGTCTAGGAACCAAGAGAGCCTGCTCATCTGGATCTCGGGTCTTCAGGGTCCTCTCTCAGCCTCACCTTATAGGCGTGACCATTACTGAAGCCTCAATGGGTGTTAAAACTTCCAGGTCAAAGCTGGAATGGCTACCCATTACAGTTTAGGATGAGGTGGGCTGGAGAATGGGCCCAGAGAGAGGAGAAGCTGATGGAAGGGAGGGCAAGGGGTAGTAAGGACCCAGGTTTCTTTGACCTTCCTCTATAACTCCCCCATGCTTCTCTTAATTTCTTAGGTGTGATCTTTGCCAATGGGGAACGCTGGAAGACCCTTCGGCGATTCTCTCTGGCCACCATGAGAGACTTTGGGATGGGAAAGCGGAGTGTGGAGGAGCGGATTCAGGAGGAGGCCCGATGTCTGGTTGAGGAGCTCCGGAAATCCCAGGGTGAGTCTCTGAGAATGGGCATAAAGGAGCATGGTGATACAGAGACCTGAGTGCACAGCCCGGGAAAGAGAAGAGACATCCATGGGCAGAAAAAGAAATACACACACACACACACACACACACACACACAGACACACAGAGAGATGTAGTCACATACACAGACACACACAGATACACACACACACACACACACACACACGGAGACATACACACATAGACACAGACACACACACAAAGACATACACACAGACACACACAGAGACGTAGTCACATACACAGACACACACAGACATACAGACACACACACACACACATACACACAGACAGACACACACTGGCAAGATGATAAGCTAGAGGGAGAGAGAAATACAGAAAGACAGGGAAAGAGATGTATAGTTCACAGTGTTCAAGAATGACTCAGAGACATAGATTGAGAGAATTGCATGCATTCTACTTATGTTCAGGGAAATCGATGCCTGGGTTAAGAATATGTGTCATCTGGTGTGATGGCACAAGCCTGCCCTCCCAATACTCAGGGGGCTGAGACATGAGGGTCACAAGTTTAAAGCCAGTTTGGCTACATCATGAAATCTTGTCTCAAAGAAAAACCATGGTTGACATGGTGGGTGCAGCTCCAGCATGCTGGGCTTGCCTGGCACACACACAGTTCCAAGTCTGATCACAACACCACAACATTGGCATGGTGCCAAATGCTGGTCACTATGGTATACCTGAGGTGAAGGCAGGAGCATAGAGGTTGGAGGTTATCCTTGACTTTATACCGTGTTCAAGGACGTCTTGATCATGTTAACCAGTCTCAAAACACGGTCTATGTCCAAGGCAGGTGTTAGAAGCAGGGAACTTTGTTCTTTCCTTGTGGATGTCCTGATGAGTGGGGCAGTGAGCAAAGATGGGGTGTTTTACTTTGTGGCAGTCCTAGGCACTTCTGGGTACTTATAGAAACTTCACATCAGGGGCATCCTGGTGACCTAGTCCATTTTTTACCACCTCATTCCTTTATGCTGGTGTTTGTCATCTCTTTAAGATTTCTCAGGAGACTCTGAGAGGTCCATGCAGAGACTGGAAGGGAACAGAAGGAAATCAAGAGACTAGGAAGGAGAAAGCAGAGTGACAGAGACTGGGAAGCTGAGATAGAACTTGATGACCAAACAGAAGAGAAAATACAGGGGAGCAGGAGTGAGGGGAATAAAGGGGCCAGGAAAATAGGTAGAGGGATGGAAAAGAGAAAGACAGAAATGCTGAGAGACATTTAGACAGGAAATCACAGAGACAGATAAAGGTTGACAGACATCAGGGAAAGATCTGCAGAGAAATCAGAGACAACAGACAGGCCAGCCCAATATTGCTGGACTGACAACATCCTTCCCACCATGTGGGCCCATGAAGGAACCCAGAACTAAAGGCAGCAGGCACTGGTTATTGATGGTTCTTGGAACACCACAGAGCCTAGAATCAGAGAAGGAATGGAGGAAGACTCAAAGATGAGACTTCTAAATCCACACAAGCAACCCCCACATCGTTCTCTGTACCATTCCTGCCAATGGGAGTCAGCTATGGGCTCAGTCAGAATGTTTTCCTGGTGGACACTATGTTACAGACGCTCTCCTTCTCAACTCTCTGGGTCTGATCCTGGCCCCAGTCATGAGGAGCTGTGTCACCTTGGTGAAGTTAGTGCCCATCTCTGTGTATACTAATAGCATTGCATCTTATGTATAATTTTGAGAGGAAATTAAATAAATGGTGTGTGCAATCCTGAGTGCAGGTCCTGGTGCATCATGTTTACAGATGTGGTAGCAGCTACTGGTATTGAGTAGGGAGTAGTGGGTATAGGTTTACAGATATGAGGCCAAAGCCCAATGTCCCCCTGATGCCATGTCTTGATTCCGAGTCTCCTGAAATGCATCCCCCTTCTCCAGGAGCCCCCCTGGACCCCACCTTCCTTTTCCAGTGCATCACAGCTAACATCATCTGCTCCATTGTCTTTGGAGAGCGCTTTGACTACAAAGACCGCCAGTTCCTGCGCCTGCTGGACCTGTTCTATAGGTCCTTCTCTCTCATCAGCTCCTTCTCCACCCAGGTCAGTGGATGGGAAGAGAGGAGCATCCAGGGCAGAGGAAAGAAGAGGCTGCTCTGTGGGTGAAGAAGGGAGTGTCTTAGGGCTGGAAGAAAGGCAGAGACAACATGGAGAGACAAGGAGCCTGAGGCCTGGAGGGCAAGGGGTGGCAGGAGGATGTTAAGTAGGGTGGAGAAACCCTAATGCAGAAATACCAAGTCATCCAGACATGAGAAAATGATGACATGGGGGCGCTGTGGCTGTCGCTAAGAGGGCAGAGGACTTGTCTATCATGTGTGAATCCTGGGGTTCATCCCTAGCACAAATTAAGCCAGGTTTGGCGCTACATATGTGCAATCCCACTACATGGGAGATCAGAGTTTAAGGCCATCTTTGGGTAAATATTGAGTTTGAGGAGAGTCTGAAAGACATGAGACCCTGATTGACAAAAACAAAAACAAAATGATGGCTTAGGAAAGAGTGAGAGAGAATCCAATACAAGTGCTGGAGAAAGGACTCAGAGAAACAGACTGAGAGCATGCTGTGTGTGTTTGTGCATGAGAGGGGAAATGAAGGAAAGAGAAGATGAGCAAAGGAGTGGGGGAGGGGAGGGGAGAGAATGGAAGGAGAGAGGGCAGATCCTCGTGAAATATGGGGACCTAGGAACACAGCCTGCTCCTTGAGTCCTGATAGCTCCAGGTGACCTCCTGGGTCCTTCTTTCCTGCAGGTGTTTGAGCTCTTCTCTGGCTTCCTGAAGTACTTTCCCGGTGCCCACAGACAAATCTCCAAAAACCTGCAGGAAGTCCTTGACTACATTGGCCAGAGTGTGGAGAAGCACAGGGCAACCTTGGATCCCAGCAATCCAAGAGACTTCATCGATACCTACCTTCTACGCATGGAGAAGGTAAGTCCTGCAAGAATGAGAGAAGTGATGGGTGAGAGTGAAGGCTGGGGATGTGAGCCGAGGAAAAGGGGGGCAGAGGATGGGGAGGAGAGATAGGAAGTGGAGTAGAGGAGATGCAGAAGAATCCAGAAATTGAAGACTAGAGAAAGGAGGAGAAAATGAAACAGGGAGGAAGAAGGCTGTGGAAGAAACACAGGGCAAGGGGCAAAAAGCAGAAAAGACCTCAGAGGAAGAGAGAGCCTGGGAGGAAAATCATGATAAATACCAGAGAGCAAAGTCAAGAGAGAAGGAGACAGAACAGAGAGCCAATGACATTGTTGAGGACTGGGACTGGCAATGCAGTCCATACAGTGTGAGACAGAAGGTCAGTTCCCAGGATGTGTATGTATCTCCCTGTAAAGACCCAGTCACCCCTGACCTTCCCTTCTCTCTCCCATCTGGAACCAGGAGAAGTCCAATCAACACACGGAGTTCGATCACCAGAACCTCATGCTCTCCGTGCTGTCTCTCTTCTTTGCTGGCACCGAGACCAGCAGCACCACGCTCCGCTATGGCTTCCTGCTCATGCTCAAATACCCCCATGTTACAGGTGCGCCACAGACTGCCCGTTGAGGGATCTCTAGCCTCCTTTTAGCTGTGGAGGTTTGTGTGGATGAGAGAGACAAGGGCCTCTTACATCTGGAGTTCTGAAGGCTTTGGTCTACTTCTAAACTAGGGTAGTACTGTGGGTAGTGTGTGAATGAACACTCAGCTGGCCCATTTTCCTTTGATTTTTCCTTTCACTTTAATGTAGATCAGTCTATCCACCAACCCACCTACCCATCCATCTATCCATCCATCCACCCACTCATCCAACCATCCATTCATCCATCCATCCGTCCATCCATCCATCCACCCACCCTTCCACCCATCATCCATCCATCCATCCATCCATCCATCCATCCATCCATCCATCCATCCATCCTTCTTTCCTTCCTTCCATCTTTCTCTCTTTACATCCATTTATTCATTTATCTTTCTATCCATGCACCTCTTCATCCATCTACTCATTCTGTTTGTTTACACACCTATGTGTCCACTCACCAACTCATGTCGTTCACCTTTCTCTTCATTCATTTTCCCATTCATCTAAGCATCTGCCTAACTAAACACCTATTTACTCAACCATCCTTTTATCTACCTACCTATAAATATTCACACACACACACACACACACACACACACACACACACACACACACATACCCAGAACCCACCCACTCATCATATATCAATCCACTGTCTAATTTTTATTGATCACCCACCCTGTTCATTCATTCATTTATTTTAATTCATCAACTTAGTTTCCCTTTGATCAGTAGAATTGAATAAATTATTTTCATTGATTATGCATAAACTTATCTATACTTCTATCAAAAGTTTCATTCCTTAATCTTTTCACTAATTGGCCTTTGAGTTTATCTTTCATATGTCTATCCATTCTTTAATTTATCCTCTAATTGAGTCATCTTTTGACTTATGAGTTGAATAAATAATCCAGTGTTTAGTCTGTTCATTTCATTAACTCACAAATCTGTTCATTTATTAATTGATTTATTTATTATATTTATTATATATTCATTTTTATAGTTATCCATGGATAGATCCATTTGCTAATCTACCTACTTCTCTGTTATATTCCTGAGGAAACAGCCTCGAGTTCTTAATATAAAATTCCATGTAGAGTTATAGATTTTGGGCAAGTACAAGCATGTGTATGTGATTGTGCACATGTGTCTGTGGGTATTATGTGTAAGTGTGTGTGTGTGTGTGTGTGTGTAGACAGACAATTCATTCCCTTGTGAAGGTGAGAATTTTTGCTGCTTTTCTCCCTCACACTCTTACACCAACATGATTGCTCTGAAGTATTCCTATGCAATCGCCCTTTTTGTATGTTTTTCTCTTTTTTTAAATCCCTGATGAAATAAGGTTGAAGCTCGTCGAGGAGAGCTGTGATATAGTTTTAAACATGGGCACAGAGAGGCAGTCACTTAAGAATACGACAGTTGGCCAGGCGGTGGTGGCGCACGCCTTTGATCCCAGCACTCGGGAGGCAGAGGCAGGCGGATCTCTGTGAGTTCGAGGCCAGCCTGGTCTACAGCGCGAGATCAGGAAAGGCGCAAAGCTACACAGAGAAACCCTGTCTCGAAAAACCAAAAAAAAAAAAAAAAAAAAAAAAAGAACAGGACAGTTGTTTGTACCCACAAGTGCACTGCGTTTCTCAGAGAGGCTCCATGATGCCCTCTTTCTTGGGGTGTTGGCTCATAGAATGAAATATCATTGCTACAAATCAGCAAAGTAGATCCACTGTTCCTTTCTTTCTGTGCAGAGAGAGTCCAAAAGGAGATCGATCAGGTGATTGGCTCACACCGACTCCCAACCCTGGAGGACCGCACCAAAATGCCTTACACTGAGGCTGTCATCCACGAGATTCAGAGATTTTCAGATCTCATCCCCATTGGTGTCCCACACAAAGTCACCAAAGACACTTTGTTCCGAGGGTACCTGCTCCCCAAGGTGAGACCAGCTGCCATTCCACATGTCTACTCCATGATCACTCTACACTCTCCTCATCACCAACCTCAGCCTGTTTGTGGTTTCCTACACTATGTGTTTCTCAAGAACTGACTGAAGATGGGAGTCAGGGTATGCTGATATCTTTGTGTCTCATAATGTCTCCTAGAACACTGAAGTGTACCCCATCCTGAGTTCAGCTCTCCATGACCGACGGTACTTTGCACAACCAGACACCTTCAACCCTGACCACTTCCTGGATGCCAATGGATCTCTGAAGAAAAATGAAGCTTTCATGCCCTTCTCTATAGGTGAGACCCACTTGTGCTTCCTTTCCCAGACACTAGAGGGCAGGCTCATCCTCCTGGACAGACAGGTCCAGGTCCATGTTTACTGATTTATTCCAGCTGCTTTGCCTGAACCATTTCATTCACCCTGGCTACAGTGCCATAAGAGGACTCTTGAACTAAAGGAGCATTCTGACCATCAGTACTTTGGGGAATTATTTAAAAGTCTCTAAATTTGAGCAAATGCATTTTCTTAAGAAACAACAGCAAGAACAAGTGCCATCATCTATGAACACTGCTGTGAACTGGGTAGGGTCTTGATGGCTGGGGAGGCATTGACTTTAGCTGTGAGCACTGGGGAGATGGGGCCTTGTCTTGACATGCTTGTCTCTGTGCAGTAAAATTACTCTGGCTTGGTAAATTGTAACAGAAATCAAAATTACTACCATTTATTTGAGCAAAGAAACCATCCATGATGAGTAACATCCTGAACCCGAAGAAGTTCAGAGTTACAGCACCCATTAGTGTCAGCATGTGGTGTCTATAGACAATACTGAGCTTGGCATGGACACACAGCTCAATTGTTGCCAGTTCTGCTTTTGCCTTACTTGGCCATGCTGGAGTAGTTTGCAGCCTAGGGTAGGTCAACTTCTATGAGAGACTGAGACTTCTTCTTCATTGGAAGAATATAATCTCAAGTAGTTGTGTTGACTGTTGTGTTTGGTTAATTTGTTAGTGTCTCTGGCCAAATTTAATTCAGTTTTATGGACTCTATGGGATGTAAACATGGAAGCTTTATGTTCATGCTTTTATCTTTTGGAGAAAGGGGTATTCTAGAAACAATTCCTTAGCCTTTAGTTGTACCCCACCCATCATATTCTCATGACAGGGATGGAACCCAGGGGTAAGTGTTTGTTAAACAAGTTCTCTCAGAAGAACCCATACCTCCAGCCTCTCCTTGGTGCATTCTAGAAGATGCTCTCCTGTTTTCCTCCTCCTGTTCTCATTCACTCACTGAGGGATTTCAGGCAAGTGTTCTCTTACTGAGCCATGTCTCAGCTAAGAATTGTCTAGTGTTGAGTGTCCGAGTGACTTCAGTGACCCTGGGCTCAGCCTTGCTCCTGGCTCTGTCCAGTATAAGGGCCTCCTTTCCTATTTGATCCTCACAGTTGCAGACATGTAGGATGTGAGATAAAAGTGAATTGTCTGTATAACTGTTCCAAGTTTAGAAAGGCAGGTTGTTGGGAAAGGGGATGTAAGAAGAAGACATGGAAGGAATGCATGACCAGATGTGGTTGGCCAGAGAAGTTGGAGGGGTTAGGATGATGGCTAGGAAGTTTAGAGAAAGCAAGCAGAAAAGAACAGATAATAAGACACATAGTGATGGTCGGTACAGACACAGGTTCAGGGAGACTGCTGTGGGATGCAAGCAAGCAAGCAAGCAAGCAAGAGAGTGAGCAAACAAACAAGTCAAAAGGATATTAATGCCAAAGGGACATGAACGGTGTCTGAATCACCAGCTCCAAGCATGGGGACATGGTGTTGAGAGTGAGATCAGCCATAAAAAGCTGCTCTGGAAAAATCTGGGTCATAAAATGAGTTCCAGGAGAACTGTCTCAGAGAGATACTCCATGAATTTCTAAGCTCATGTCACCTAAGTTCTGGAAATGGAATGCCCAAAGGGATAGGGTACTTTCCCTAGACACCCCTACACAGGCACAATTTCCCAACAACTGGAGGGCACAGGCGTTGCTGGGAAATCCCTCATCCACCTGGAGGCCTGAGGTGGTCAGTTGCAGATTAAGAATCTCTGAGGTACAGGGCAGGGGGTGGAGCCCTTGTCTGGTCTTTCAGGCTCCCATTGTTCTGTGGTGCTCCATGCCCAAGGTGACAAACCTTATGTCTCTGAGAATCCAGTGGATGCCATAGGCTCCTTATCATGTGCCCCTGCCCATTCTCAACTGTGTGAACAATTGTGTTTGGGATCTTGTTGAAGTTCATTGATCACAAGCTGAAGAAGCAAAGGAGGCAGAGAAAAAGAAAGAAAGGTGGAGGAGAGGATGAGTGACAGAGGGGACAGAGAAAGAGAGAAAGGTGGAGGAGAGGATGAGTGACAGAGGGGACAGAGACAGAGAGAAAGGTGGAGGAGAGGATGAGTGACAGAGGGGACAGAGACAGAGAGAAAGGTGGAGGAGAGGATGAGTGACAGAGGGGACAGAGAAAGAAGAAAGGTGGAGGAGAGGATGAGTGACAGAGGGGACAGAGAACGGGGAGAGACAGAGACCATGCTCTGTAGTCTATCAACTTCCTGCCTCAGTCTCCCAAGTGCTGTACTTGCACACATGTGCCTCCATGTCTGGATCATATAGGGCCCTTAACACCATTCAGTTGTTAATCTAAGAGTCTTTGTAAACAGTACCTTCACCCTCAGGGCAGCCAATGAGATGGGTACCAATCCCTCACATGAGCTAAAATAGAACACTAAAGATGTTGCATTAAACATGTGTACACAGACACACTTGGTTCCTATTCTAGTACCTTCTTACAGTTCTGGAACAAAGGACTCTGGTAATCCCACAAATTCTAGAACTCTGTCAGAAGTGACCATGAGACACCTACTAACAGTTTGTTCTGAATTTTATGATTAATTTATTGTGTATATGTTTGAATGCATATACATGTGTGCTATGGTGAGTGTGTGTGTGTGTGTGTGTGTGTGTGTGTGTGTGTGTGTGTGTGTGTGTGTGTGTTTATATCAAAGGACAGAGTGTGAGCGTTGGTTCTCTCTTTGCAACATGTGGGTCCAGGGGATTGAACTCATGTTCTCAGGGTTGATAACAGGCTCCTTTTTGTGCTAAGAAGTCTCACTGGCCCTTGCACCAATTCTTTAAGGTTTTGGGAATCTCTTAATGTTTTCAAATTGCAGGTTGAAGGTCAAACTCATTCTTATTCTTTGCAATGGGCCGAGTTGTCTGGGTTTAGGAATGGGACAGTCCAGAGGTTGTATACTGCCCTGGGGCTCACATGGCTTATCCTCTGTGCCCACAGGAAAGCGCATTTGTCTTGGTGAAGGCATTGCCCGCAACGAATTGTTCCTTTTCTTCACCACCATCCTCCAGAACTTCTCCGTGTCCAGTCTTATGGCTCCTGAGGACATTGACCTCAATCCCAAGGAGAGTGGCTTTGGCAAAGTGCCCCCAACATACCAGATCTGCTTCTTGGCCCGCTGACTGGGCTGTGGTGGAGAATGGCCTGTTGAGAATGGCCCCATGTTTCTGCCTATGAGAGACCTGCTGGAAACCAGGCACTAGGTCACTGCTCACTTCATAAGACCTCACTGCAGCTTCTGCAAAGCTGGAGGTGTGTTCTTCTGCCCTGTGAATGGCAATGGAAAAAATCAATCAAGTGCCTTTCTTGAAGTGTGAACAGAGAGATTTCTGGAGGCCACATCTCATGCTGAATCACTCCCAACAGCCACAATGCCAATGTATCAGCTCCTGGAGATACATGATCTATGCCAATGGACTCAGTATATGATCTGAATACCGAATTCTATAGATTTGCCTAATATGTATGGCTCATGTCAACAGAATCATATAGTGTGTGATATTTGGTATCTGGTGTCTTTTACTTCACACAATATTATCTAGGTCCCTGTACTTTGCAGGCCAGAGTCACAAACCTTCATGGGCTTTTCTCATGATCATTCTCAGCCAAAAGCGTAATTACCTTCTTTCCTGTGTTCTACCAGCAGAAGGTGTGGTCCTGATTTAGGCTGGGTCTTCCTGCTCCTAAGAATCTGATAAGAAATCCCTCAGAGCATGCCCAGCAGCTTGGGGTCTAGTTGATGCCAGATGCAGTCAAGTCAACACTCAAGAGCAGTCATCAAAAAGCCAAGTCCCCTGACCTCCTGGTTACTTTTACATGTGACATCTTGATTGTCTAGTAACTAAGGTTCTTTTCAGAAGGGCTTCTGGCTGCAAACTCGATCACATCCAGGCCAGATTTGTATAGGGACAACCTGTTACCTTGTTCCCTGCTGAGTTGTGAGAACCTGGAACAGCAGGTGACTGATGCCAGGTATTAAATATGGTGGAAGAATAATCAATAGGTAAATAAACAACTCAATACTGTGACAAAATGAGTCACTCCATAAACTTGCCCAATATGCAGCCAGACCTCGTCTCTCTGTTATCTGTCCCTCCCTTCAGATGACCAGAGTAAATCCTCGTCCCCAAACTCTCCAGACTGACCCAGTTCTGAGTCGTCTGCTCTTGCTGTCTTGTCACCTTCTGACAGAAGTGTCTGGGAGCCACCCTTTGAGCAGTGTCCCCTGAAACTCAGCCTCTGCACACTGCACTGCTGGGACAAGCAGGTGTTTGTGGGAAGTGTCATTTATTTAACATCATCACCTAGGAAGGTGTCTCTAGGCAGCCTTTGGCCAATCAGCAGGCAGCTCTCAACTCACCTCTGAGATACTAAATTTCCACCCTCATTACCAACCTCCTGCTGCCTAGGGAGAGTTACCAGGAGCTTTGCCAAGGAAGATTTCTGGCTCACTCTCTTCCACCAACCACAGGAATAAGACAACAATCAGAACAGTCTGTCTTCAAGAAAAACAGGAATGTGCAGCATGCTAAGGTAGAACCATGGCACTCTGGCTTCTCCTGAATCTTGCTAGTCTGGATCTGGGGTGGCTCCAGCTCAAGGACTGTCTCTCTCGTGGACAATGGCTTCTGCCTTTGCTGGAGAACATTTTGCAAACAGACTTCATGAGCTACTCAAATCTTTCCAAGGGGTGAGATGTGGAGAAGATCAGGGTGAGGAGGCAGGAGATGGGAGGAAGGAAGTGATGCTCACAGGCAGCAAAGAGTTGCAAGTCCATGGTTCAACAGGCATCTCCAGATCAGGTTGTGAATTCTCCAATTCTTCTTCCAGCCCTGCTGTGGCACTAGAGAAGCTTCTAGAATTCTTATGAGGAGGAACAGTTTGAAGGTAGGTAGGGAGATAGGTGCAGGTAGATGTAATGTGGTCTCCATCCTTGAGAGCTGCATATGCTTACATGGAGTCCCTGAATCTCATAAAGTCCTAAGTTGGGAAAGTTCTCAGAAAAGCTGGGACCATGGAAGGGTATGAGAGAGATGGTCATGTGAAACCACAGAACTGAAATTTAGGTTCTTCCCTGATGAGATCCAGACAACCTTGGGAGTGTGATCCAGAGAGGAAGAACCCATCACTATGGTCAGCTTGTGAGTTCTGGGCCTTGCCTCTGCAGCTGAGGGGGAAATATGGAGATACTGTCGTGCTGCAAGCCATAAAAATGTATGAGGTAGGGATTTCAGCTGATTATGACAAGCTAATACCTGGAAGAAGCCAAGGGCCTTCAAGAGGTCAAGCTGAGGCTCATCGAGTCTTGGTGATATTGGCTTTTGATTATTAGCCATTTCCTGCTATGAATTTCTCGTGCACTATTGTAGCTTTTCCATCATTCATTGGGCACAACTTCTCCTGTACTAATGGAATGTTTCGAGAACCTTCTGCACTGACAGCTATGAACAGCCAGAACCCCAGTTCAACCCTTCATGTAATTATCATCATTGGCAGTATCTGGCCAGGACCATCCCTGGATGGACAAAAGTATCTGATCAAAGATACCTCTGTGCTCTCTAAGAACTTAAGCATCCAGACCATCTGTTTGAACAGGCCTGGCCGATCTGCTAATTAAGCTTAATTTTCTCCTTTTTAAAGTCTTATCTCCAGTTTTAGATCAACCTTTAACAATTAACTCAGAACTAATCTGTTCTTACTTACAGGTACATCTAGCTGTTATGGAAGTTGCTTAGCCAAGATGCCAAGTGATCAAGCACACTTCTCCCCACCCTGCCTGAAAATGTGGGAGCAGAGATAGTTTGGAGAGATAAGGGCCAAAGGGGTAAAATTCAGCTTTATTTTCAGAGCAAGGAGTAGATGGAGAAGAGAAAAGAGAATGGAAGAACTAGATGGGTAAGAACTGGAGAGGAATGAACTGAGATGGGGAAGAACATTGAAAAGCTAGAATAGAATACTAAAGGAATGAGATGGAAGATGAGGAAGAGCCAGATGGGGAAGAACAAGATGAGGAAGAACAAGATGAGAAAGAATGAAATGGGAGAGGAGCTAAGATGGGAAAGAACTAGATGGATGAGAACCTAGATGGTGTGGGGCGGGGGAAGAACTAAGATGAGAGAATTAAGATAGAACTTAGAGGGGACAGCAGATAAATGTAGAGAGAAATCAGGCAAGAAAGTAGTTAGGCATGAGAGCAGAATTGAGGCTATGTAGACAGAATTTTATCCCAGAGGAATAAAGTAGACAGACAAAAGAGCTCAGGATTCTTAGTTTCTTTTCCTGAAAATAATTCTTGCGATTTGTAGCCTCTCTTCTGAGCCCCTCAGAAGAAGATTATTAAGGCTGGTCCTTAATAATTCTTGAGACTGTCACACTCTATACGGGCTTTAGCCTATTCTTGTCCTGGGTGGACATGAGGCAATATGGGAGGCCATAGAGGATCAGGCTGAGGCTTTCTCTGGCCAAAGGCTCATGGCCATCATTGATCCATCTTCCAGGAAGTGGTGAGTGGGGGATGGTCCTGAGGTTAGTGGGAGGGAAGATCTCACCCACCCCACACTTAGGTATGTTGTATTTTTATTTTATTTTTTGGCCAAAGAATAACTTGGAGCTTCCTCTAGTGGTTCTGTATGACCACCATGAAGGACTTTGTAGCAGAAAATGGAGCATGGAAGCTGAAATCAAGGTGGAAGCTTGGGGTCTGCTGGTGGAGCTTTGGAAAACCTGGGTTGAGTCCCAGGGGTGTGTGCAGGAGGTCAACACAAGACAAAGAGATGGAGAGACAAATAGATTGCTAAAGATCCAGAAGAGCGATGAAGAGACAGGTTCTTGGGGTGGGGATGGAGGATGACAAGTTAAAGATCCAAGGATACATTTTGAAATAGAAGTTTCACAGAAAAAATTAGAACTAAGATATGTGATCCTAGAAATAGTTAACAGAGACACAAAATGTCTGGGTGGGAAGGACAGATGGATGTGAGACAAACCAGGATGTGGTAGTTTGAGTGAGAATAACCCCCACTGGCTCATATTTTTGAGTATTTGGTCCCCAGTTGGTGGAAATGTATTATGAGGATTACAAGGTGTGGCCTTGATGGAGGAGGTGTGTCACTGGGGATGGGCTTTGAGGTTTCCAAAGCTCAAGCCTTTCCCAGTTAGCTCTCTGTCTGCCTCCTGACATGGATGAGATGTAAGCTCTCGGGTACTGCTTCAGCACCATGACTGTCCACCTGCTTTCATGTTCCTGACGTGATGGTTATGGTCTCAACTCTGAAACTGTAAGCCCCAGTAAATTCTGTTTTTCCTCTCAGCTGAGCTGGTCACGGTGTCTTAGCAGAATAATAGAAGAGTAATCAAGACAAAGGGCATGAAATGAGGCCAGACTCTCAGAGAGTCAGAGATGAGACCAGAGAGACACAGATGCACAAGGAGTCACACCATGACTAGAGAATAATAGACACAGCAAGGTTTCAGAAGTACAGGCAAACCAGGAGATGGCACCAGCCTTGTGAGAGTCAGCCAGAGGGACAATGTAGGGGAATGAGACCAAGACAGAGGGTACAGTACACGAAGGTGGATACAGTGGAACAGAGGATTAAACCAGAACTCTGTGCATGCTAGGCAAGGATTCTACCAACTGAGAGACATCTCCAGCCAATTTTGTCCTATGGTGCCTCTGTAATTTGAGAGATTGCTGTAGATGCCAGTGTTGTTTACATGGTTCTCTCTGTTCCTCCCCCATCCTCCTCTGCAGATGAGTCAACATGACTTTCCAGCTCTTCATTTGTCCTCAATTCTTTTGTAGATATCAGGATAAGGTACAAGTTACCACAGGGAGAAGATAAAATTCTCATTTGAGGTGTAGACATATGTGCAACCTTCCGTGATCCTATACATGAACTATGCAAGTTTATACCAGTTTATATTTTCCCATGTGAATGATGAATAATAACGTCCACAAAGTGAATGGTTGTGTGAAAGATTGTCAGCAAAACAAAACTTATTGGTATGGAATGAATGTTATTTTGTGTGTGAAAAGGCATGAGGGTTGTGTGTGTGAGTGTGTATGTGTGGTTGTGAGTGAGTGTGTGTGTGTGTGTATGTGTGTGTTGGGGGGAGCAGGGTAGAAGGCTATAGTTTGAATGTCATCTCTAAAACCCATGTTAAATTTAAACGTCATTATAAAAATGTTAAGAAGTGAGATCTTCAAGATGTGATAAGGTCATAAATCTTTTGCCTTGATGTTATAGGTTGATTGTGAATATTGCCCAAAACATACGCTTGAATTATTTTGTTCCACAGGAGGTGATTCTGTTTCAGGGAATTATGGGATCTTTAAGAGGTGAGACCTGTCTGGTGGAAGAAGGTCACTTACAATGGACTGTAGATAGATTATATGATGGCTTGTAACCTGGGCCTGATTCCAGCTTCTCTCTCTCTCTCTTGTTTCTCATCCGCCACTGTTATGTGACCAGCCACGAGCTCCCCTTTCAAGCCCAGAGCCCCAGCTCTGACAATGACTCCAGCCTTTGAGTAACATGGTCATGTTTATTCTAACAACCGAGTTCTGGAACCATTTTTCTGCATTCGTTGCTTTTCTTGTCACTGTGGCCAAATTCCTGCTACAAAGCAACTGAGAGGAAGGATTCATTTTCCCTCAGTACCATGGCAGGTTAGGTGTGGCACATGGGGCTTTGGTCTAAATGAGGGAGCTTGTGGTTGTTCTTGTATATGGCAGATGGAAGAAGAAAGAGGAGGATGAAGAAGAGGAAGAGGACACACACACACACACACACACACACACACACAGAGAGAGAGAGAGAGAGAGAGAGAGAGAGAGAGAGAGAGAGAGAGAGAGAAGCATGCAGTGTAGTCGTGACCCATCAGCTTACCTCCAACAACCTACTTCTTTCTTGCAAGCTTTACCTCTTAGGGTGTCCTGCCACCTCCCCAAATAGTGTTATCAGTTAGGTACAAAGTGTTGATGTGTGAACTTGTGACAAAGATTTCACATTTAAAACATAACACTTTGTGAATGGATCCAAGTAATCAGTGTGGTGGGCTAGCTAAGAATGTCCAGTTTCCTTTTTAGGTTTCTCCTTCAGTCTTAGTCACATTTACTGACCCCTGTGTCATGTTTTAGAGCAACAGTAAGAGCCTCACCAGATACCAGTGCTGTGTTCTTGGAAATAAGTGCTTCCAGAACCACAAAATTAAATGAATTCTGTTCATATAATTGTTGGGTTTCCAATATTCTACTACTGCAGAATACAGACTAAGATGGTCTCCTCATCTTGCAGCAGAGTCTGTGGGATGGGGGCAAGGGGTAGAGACACTGCGAGAGAAAGATAGGAAGAGAGAGGGTTGGAGAGCTTCATGACCTATGAAGACAGCCAGGAGGACAAAAGGAACCATTTGTCATTAGTCACAGCAATCAGAGACTATTTAGTTAGGGTTTCTATTTCTGTGACAAAACACTGTGACCAAAAGCAGCTTGGGGAGGAAAGGGTTTATTTTGCTTGAATTCCCATTTTACAGTTCATCATCCAGGGAAGTCAGGGTGGGAACACAAGGCAGGAACCTGGAGGCAGGAGCTGATGCAGAGGCCAGGGAGGGGTGCTTATTGGCTTGTTCCCCATGGCTTGCTCAGCCTGCTTTCTTATAGAACCCAGGACCACCAGCCTAGGGATGGCATCACCTATAGTGGGCTGGGCCCTCCTCATCAATCACTAATAAAGAAAATGCCTTTCAAGTTTGCCTGCACTGTGATTTTAGGGATGCATTTTCTCAACTGAAGTTCCTTCCTCTCAAATGACCCTAACTTGTATCAAGTTGATATAAAATCTAGCCAGCCCAGACACCCAGAGGCCCCAACTGCTCCTCTGCCAGGTTTCAGCCTCTCTCTCTTCCTAGCTCCTGAGCCTTCCCACTCCTGAATCTCTTGCCTCTCCTTTCTTCTCCTTTTTCTCCCATCTGAGGCTGTCATGGGCCAGAGAGTGCAATAGGGACTCTGGAGAAATTACATCTGCAGCCCCTCAAAGACTCAGGTTGGGGAATGCATAGACACACAGAGATGTGCACAGTCCATGTGACACTGTTCTTGTCACTTAAATGTAACCACATTCATATATGAAGCTAAGAACATAGAGAAAGGCCTCCACAATTTAAGATTATATATGCAAACACACCCCAGATGTGCACGAGTAGACTAGCAAGCATGTCTAGACGCAAACACAGAAACACACATCTGCACATTCATATTAGAATGACCTTTCACATATAAAAAGCATACAGTGCACACACACAGGTCCATGCCTAAATAAACTGACAAAACTGAGCTGACATGTGTATACTCACCCCCAGAAATCGAGACGCATTTCTCTCTATGCCTTTTTCCCCTATGTATCTGTTTCATGGTTATTGAGAGCTGCTGGTAGCAAAATTCATGGGAGTATATACAGCAGGTGACAACTAGAGTTCAGAAGGTCAACCTATCAGAACTAAGGGTTCTGTTAGAGGAAACCATCATGAGAGGTGTGATGGAATTACTGCCTTTTGAATGAATTGGCTTTTTCTTGTTGTAAACTTCTTGTGCAATAACAGCTATGATTCTCCCCATTTACCGTGCATCTGCATGTTATGTGTACATGTAATCTCATGATTGCATTTCAGTCTTATGGGCACAACTTCCCTTATACATTTGGGCTAATGGATAACTGTCCCCAGCTGCATTTATTTTTCATTAACATAAATCTGGCCAGCGCCATTCTCCAGACAAAAGTACTTCAGCTAAGATACCTTTTTATTCTAGGACAAATGCAGATAGATAAACGTTAGCTCATCTCACCCACAGATAGAGAAAATAACCACTAGCAATTAGATACTCAACTCCTTACCTTCATCTCGGGTTATTTACACAAGTTTCCAACTTAAGAGATTTATTGCTCACTTTCCTGGGATGATGTTTTAGCCACTGGTTAGTTACTGAGTTCAGGCAGTTACTTCCCACTGACCTAAGGAGATTTCTGACTAGACCAGGCAGGCAACAGGTGCCAAGCTTTGCTTCTTGTGCAAATTAAGTTTTAATCCACCTTAGCAACCAAATGCTACATGCTAAGAAGTAGGTTGCCTAGCAACCGAGCATAAGTCCCCCGCCCTTCCAGAAAGCAGCAGCAACTGGCATGAGCAGGGACAACAGTGGCACCAAAGACAGTTTTGCTTTTCTAGTGACTTATTGATGTTTATAGACCCCTAACAGTCTACCTAGACACTTCTAGATTATAGTTTGAGCACAGAAATTACCTTTTAGAATTCCCTAATTGATCTTAGCCTTTAGTTGAACCTACCAGAGAACTCCCCTTTAGTCACTCCCCCTTTTGGGTTGTAATTGGAAGCTGAGAATTATTGCTTTGTGTGTGGATCCCTATCACCTCTCCCTGCTTCGGTCCACTTCTAAACTAGGGCAATGCTGTGAGTAGTATGTGAATGAACACTCAGCTGGCCCATTTTCCCTAGATTTCTCCTATCATTTTAAGGTTGATCCATCTTTCCATCCACCCATCTATGCATCCATCCATCCATCCATCCATCCATCCATCCATCCACCCATCCATCCATCTACCCATTTATCTTCCCTTCCATCCATCCAACCTTCTTTCCTTCCTTCCATTTTTCTATCTTTATATCCATCTATTCATTCATCTTTCTATCCATACACCTCTTTATCCATCTACTCATTCTGTTCATTTACCCACCCATCTGTCCACCCACCAACTCATCTGTCATCCACCTATCCCTTCATTCATTTTCTCATTCATTTAAGAATGAGATATCTAGATATCTAAACACCTATTTACTCAACCATCCTTCTATCTACCCACCTATGAACACTTATTCACACACACACACACACACACACACACACACACACACACACACACACACACCCCTAGTACCCACCTAATCAACCATATATCAATCCACTGTCTAATTTTTAGTGATAACCCAACTGGCCATTTCATTCATTTATTTTAATTCATCAACTTAGTTTCTCTTTTTCAGTAGAATTGAATAAATTATTTGTCATTGATTATGCATAAACTCATCTATCCTTCTATCAAAAGTTTCATTTATTAATCCAGCTGCTTTGCATGAACCATCCCATTCACCCTGGCTTCAGTGCCATAAGCAGACTCTTGAACTAAAGGAATATTCTGGCCATCAGAAATTTGGGAAATTATTTAACAGCCTCTAAACCTGAGCAAATTTATTTTCTTAGGAAACAGCAGCAAGAACAACTCTCATCATTTATGAACACTGCTGTGAACTGGGTAGGGTCTTGATGGCTGGGGAGGTATTGACGTTAGCTGTGAGCACTGGGCGGAAGGGGCCTTGTCTTGACCTGCTTGTCTCTGTGTGTAATAAATACTCTGGCTTGGTAAATGTAAGAGAAATCAAAATTACTAGCATTTATTTGAGCAAAGAAACCATCCATGATGGATGATATCCTGAACCAGAGAAAGTTCAGGGTTACAGCAGCCATCAGTGCCAGCACTCGGTGACTATAGACAATGGGGAGCTGGGCATGGACACACAGCTTGATTAGTGCCAGCTCTACTTTTGCCTTACTTGGCCATGCTAGAGTAGTTGGCAGCCTGGGGTGGGTCAACTGCTATGAGAGACTGAGACTTGTTCTTCATTGGAAGATATAATCTCAAGCTGTCTATTAGTTCAGTTGCCTATTGTGTTTGGTTAGTTTGTTACATACAGAAGGTGCCTCCAGCCAAATTTAATTCAGTTTTATGGACTTTATGGAATGTAAACATGGAAAATTTGTGTTCAGATTTTTAATCTTTTGGAGTAAGGGGCATTCTAGAAACAATTCCTTAGCCTTTAATTGCTCCCCCCACCCCCGCAACACTATGTCCTCATAATGGGGATGGAAACCGGGGCTGAGTGTGTGTTAAGCATGTTCTCTTCAAAAGAGCCCACACCTCCAGCCTCTCCTGGGTGCATTCTAGAAGATGCTTTCCTGCTGAGCCTCTCTGTTCTCATCTCATCACCGAGGGATTTTAGGCTCTTACTGAGCCATGTCTCAGCTAAAAATTGTCTAGTGTTGAGTGTCCCAGTGACTTCATTGACCCTGAACTGAGCCTGGTTCCTGGCGTTGTCCAGTATAAGGGCCTCCTTTCCTATTTGAGCTTCAGAGTTGTAGACAAGTAGGGTGTGAGATAAAAGTGAATTGTCTGTATAAGAGTCCCAAGTTTAGAAAGGCAGGTTGTGGGGAAAGGAGACATAAGAAGACATGGAAGGAATGCATGACTAGATGTGGTTGGACAGAGAAGGTGGAGGGGTTAGGATGCTGGTTAGGAAGTTTAGAAAAAGCAAACTGAAGAAAATAGATCATAAGACACGTGGTGATGGGCGGTACAGACACAGGTTCAGGGAGACTGCTGTGGAATGCCAGCAAGCAAGCCAAAAGGATATTAGTGCCAAAGGGACATGAATGGTTGTGGAATGTTCCTTACCAGCTTACTCATTTAATCAGTTGTTCTTTAGTTGGTGGAGATTTTTTGGGAGTTGTAAAATATTTAAAGGTGGTAACAAGTTATTTAGATTGGGTTAATATTCAGAGCCAGTCTCTCTCTCTCTCTCCCTCTCTCTTTCTCTCATGAATTTCCTTTTTGCTAGTGATATGTTATCCTTCCTATGTCAAAGCTGGGGCCCAAATTACTAAAGAATTTCAAACTGGGAACTCATTGGGGAGTTTTATCACATAACAACTCTACTCCTGATACTGATTTTCTGCATTAGCTGCTTCATCATGTGATTAAATAAATATCTGCTCAGAAGCAAGTATGAGGAAGGATTTACTTGAGGTCAGTTTCAAGAGAGGAACTCAGGGCAGCTGGGCCTCTAGGTTTGCTGTGGGAGCATATGGCAGGTGGGAAGGCGAGAGAGGAGTGTGTGGGGAAGAGGTTCCCTCAAATAACCTACTTCTTTCTGTCAAGTCTGAGAACATCCTGAAAATACTGTTAGTTAGAGATCAAGCATTCAAAAAAACCATGGATTCTCAGGAGATATTTTACACTCTAACCATGATTCTTTGTGAATGGATTGGTGTCATTATCACAGGAGTGGGTCCTCTATAGGAGTGTTTAGTCTCCTTTTTAGCTCTGTCAGTCTTAGTCACACTTGATTGCCCCATGTCATGTTATAATGCAGCAGCAAATGCCTCACCAGACATCAGTGTGATGTTCTTGGAAATAACTGCTTCCAGAAGCACAAATTTAAAATGTCTACTGATTATAACTTCCCAGTCTCTGGTATTCTGCCTCAGGAGAAAACAGAGTAAGAGAGTCTCAGGATACTGAGGTCAGAGTCTACAGGGGACAGAAAAACTTAGAGAGAGAGAGAGAGAGAGAGAGAGAGAGAGAGAGAGAGAGAGAGAGAGAGAGAGAGAGAGAGAGAGATGGGTTAGGGGAAAGGCCAGACAGGAGGAGGAGGAGGAGGAGGAGGAGGAGGAGGAGGAGGAGGAGGAGGCAGTCATCAGTCTCAGTGACCAGAGACCCAGAGGCTCCAACTGCTCTTCTGCCAGGCTGACACCTCCCTCTCCACCTGACTGCTGAGCCTGCTCACTTCTGTGTCTCTGGTCTCTGGACTTCTGCATTTTCTGCCATCTGTGGCTGTCACAGGCCAGAGAGTGAAAGGCAACTCTCGAGAAATCACACTGGCACTGGGGTTGGTGTATGTACACACAGACAGAGATTCACACATTACCATGCACCTCTACTCCTGTCACTCAAGTCACACCTGAAACTAAGAACATACAGAGGAGCCCCACAATGCAGCGATGTACTTGTGAACCACATGTGTTGTCTCACACTTTAATCTCAATATTCAGGAGGCAGGAGGAGGAGGTTTTCTGAGTTGGAGGCTGCTATAGTCTACAGAATCAGTTCCAGGACAGCCAGAGCTACACAGAGAAATCCTGTCTTGAAAAACCAACCAATACACATCCACTCACACACACACACACACATGCATACACCATCACAGACACAAAACATATCTGGAGGCACACACAAAAGCTCACATATGCACATTCACATAAGAAAAATCCCTTCACATATGCAGCACACACAGGTCCATGGCTGAGTAAATTAACAGACAAACCTGAGCTAACAAGTGCACACTCACCCCCAGAAATCAAGATGCATTACTCCCAATGTTTTGTCCTGTGTTCTGTTTCATTGTCCTTGCCAACATCTATGGACTAGAGAGTGAGCAGGTCACCAGCAGCCCAAACAGGAACTATGGCTGCTCACACTCCTGGACAATGATGAAAACGGAGGCGGGAACAGCTGAAGTTGCTCAACTGGTTGGAGAGGCAGGTTCAGCATAAAAAACCTTGCTGGAGTGTACAGTGAAGTCCACAGTGGTCAGACCATGACCATGGATCCCAGTGTTCTGCTCCTCCTCACTATTCTCACCAGCTTTTTGCTACTCCTGGTCAGGGGACACAAAAAGGCTCATGGTCAACTCCCTCCAGGACCACGTCCCCTACCCCTCTTGGGGAACCTACTACAGATGGACAGAAGAGGCCTCCTCAACTCCTTCATGCAGGTGAGACATGTCCATCACTGTACCCTATGGTCTTAGCCCCATATTTGCTCCTGGAGATCATTCAGCAAGATATTCAAGGGACTCTTTCCAGGCAAAAAAGTTCAGGTGGGAAGGTCGCTAAGTGAAAAGTGAGGTGTTGATTGGTGATGGATGGTACCCAGATCAACAGTTGAGTCCTTACTATGTTAAAATCATGTGGGTTACAGTGCTTGGAGTGTGAAAGGTGTTGGGGTGTTGAGGTGTGTGCAAAGGTTTTTAATTTTCCTCTTTGGTGCTTCTTTGTTCCAGAAGAGAAAGAAAAATGTTAGAGGCATCCACAGATAAGGTTTGCTTCTGCCAGCACAAGGGATTAGCCTGCCTTGTTCAGGAG